CTCAAACTACTATTGAATACTTTTGACCCGGCACAATTTTCAAGGTTCTTACAAGTAATTGTGTAGCTAACCTGAACCTACGTGCACTTTTACAGTTCCTCTTTAGTTCATCCATGGAAAAAATAACCCAATTATCTTAACCTTCGGTATTTGCTGTAAGTGAAGCCCAGTACTACTCACAAGCATACGCCCAACTCAAAACCAGCCCATGTACTAAGAATCAGTTGCCTAGACGGATACTAATGTCCACGTTGTTTTTGCTGTAAGGTTGAACGACAACTACTTGTGCACGGGGGTAGTATTGGTGAGGTGATAATGTCTGAAAGCCGGCCGCTCTCCTGACAAGCTGTTTATCAGTGGCTCGTAAAAATTTATTGAAGTGACTGTTCCTTCAGTAAGTTTGCTTGTGACAGCAAAGTTTCAAGAGAACTACACCTAACTGCATGGACAAATATGACCAGACAGGTAGCCCGAGGATAGTAGAATTATTCAAGTCGTCATAAGAATTACCTGGATAATGTCCGTTCACTTTGCATACGTGATGCTTAAACTGCTTACTGCTCACACCTAGTAGTTCAGTCTAAACCCGAATTAGAAATCAACACATCCGAGGGAGTTTACTGAGACGCCAAGACCTACAAGGTGTCTTAGCCGAGCGCCCTTTGTCGTCGGGCGGAAGCAGCAAGCAATATGTGATCTTGAGTTTCGGACTAGTTTTGACGCCATCATTCACACAGGGCAGATTTTGATTGCGAAGCTTAGCGCTGATCTGTCTGATGACCTTATTCATGCACTTGAGGTATGTGAACTTGAAAACTCGGAAAAATTAAACATTCGTCACTTTTCTGTTCATACGAGGTTTATGGGCCTGGAGTAAGCAGCCAACAATACATAGTTTTCTGTTCACATTAGAATGCTCATTTCCAATTCTTGACTAAAACAAACCAACCCAACTGTGTCCGATAAGACCCTGTCTAAGCAGTCCGAATTCGTAAAAATTGCGGTACAATTTGCGAAGCCAAGCAATGCCTCCATAAAGACGTACATCATAACATGTGGTGTGTAGCTATTCCGGCAATCCTTTTTCTAAACGAATCCTGTCCCACCTGGACTGGCTAAGTAGTTTCTGTGGGTTGGTACAACAATATGACGATGGTGTTACCTGTTCTCCTCTATTACTAATGGCAAATATGTTATGACTGTATTAAAGGTTCTCTAAATGTGTGCTGCAATCGAGTCAAGAAGAACACGTTTTTCAATAACTGCGGTGTGTTTTTGCGAACTTACATAATTGTGTCGCTGTAAATTATGGAGCCAAAAATCTATGAGCAACATGAGTAAATTTTCAATAATCGTAAACGATAAAACGCAGTGCTCTGTTGGCTTATCTACACTCGTGTGAGACCATTGTTTCAGGTGTTAATCGTACATGATTTGGTGGATGGTTTGGCCTGGTTTTAAAACTTTTAGCCTGAAAATCACCTTGGAAACAAGGTGGGGCTCAAGTGTCACTTGTGTGATGCAGATTGTGTGGATATCAGTTCTACTGATTTTGATTGGAGATTAACGCCAATCTATGCTAATAATGAAGGGATCTACTTTAT